ATCGCTATGGCGGGCTAATACCRCTTTTAAGATATGTACAAAAAGCAGATTATAAAACCATTTTGTGGTTTGAGGTTAAGAAGTGAGGTTATTGGAGGAGTTAGATTTGTCAAGAATAGACCACATGACGAGAACGTCGTCGTATCCACAAGCCATGACTTCACCTTGAAGCTCTCTTACCATCYTCCTCTCGTGTTCTTCCCTGGCTTTCGCGTCCATTCTCCCACCGCGGCAACCYTTTTGTGGCGATTGCTGCGGTTGGTTAAAGAATGTTGCTGCTTTYTTGAATGGTGTTGCTATTGTTTTCTTCCACGATGCCATTTTTTTTTTTTGGTTGTTTACTCAATTCTTTAAACAAAGGAAACTTTCTTCCTCCAATCAAAGCCTCGGATTGGGAGAGCTCGAGAACGACTTGTTATGGGTATTTATACACACATACACACTCTCTCTCTCTTATGATATTATAATGTTAATAATTGTTAATAAACTAAAGAGTAACTAGTAATGCTAAAGCAAAGGGGAGAGAGAGGCAAGATCCGCAATTAGAGCTTCCAAGAAACATCACTTTGTTTGTTTTTTTTTTAACTTTCTAACTTTTTGTTATCCATTTAACATCGTTTAGGCCTCTCCCTACCCTCCCACATGCCTTCCCACGTGATCTCTTCCTCTCTTTTTATTTTACCACTCACATTATCTCTCTCTTTTCCTTTTACATTCAATTCGCAAGTTGTGTAATATTATCATGGTACCAAACCGGATCAAACCGAAGCAAATCAATATATATACATATGAGAAGCAGATGAAGTCAAAAATTTGCCTTTTCCCACTCCTTGGTACTACTGACAGTCAAATCACCAAATGCTGATTGCATTTTCTCATTCCCATCCACTTTCATTTGTTATTATATATATCATTCTCTACATCAATTTCAATTGCTCTCACTTAGCAAACCAATGATCTAGTGAGCGAGGTAATACTTTATGCACTCTTATATAATGTGTCGGAACCATAAACTTGGAACTTTACTATTATATGAAACATATATCGGAATGAAGAAAAGTGATTAAATTAAAAGAAAATCATGTAAATATGTAGGAATCAACAGAATCGTGATTAATTCTTGTTAATTCAAGTTAAGTTAGTTAATCAAATTTGGTGGATAGAAGAGATGTATGAAATTTCAAGGACCAATGAGTTAGCAATAGCCCATGTGAATTCCACATGTATCTCTGCTTCTCTATCTCTTACCCTCTTTTCATACACCTCTTTGTATTCTATGTATAATTTCACATATTAAGATATTACTTTTCTTTTTAAAAATATATTATTTAATAAATAAACAAAAACAATTACCCAATCATAAAAAAATCTGCAGAATACATCTTATATTTAAAAACAAAAATAAATTTTCAAAACATCTTATATAGAAACATAGAGAGTAATATGTTTCCTTACTTATAAAGTAGATATACATATATCACAGCTTATAATTATTCAGTTAATCTATGAGTTTATAAAAAGTGTCTCGTTAAACAATTATTTTTAAAGAAATATCAATTAGTTTTTTTTTTTTTGCTAAATGGTAAATATTCATTAATCAAAATGAAAGGTTCAGGGTTACATAATAATGTTGCTAGAACAAATATCAATTAGTTGCATTGCACAAAACTTTCTTTCTATTTTTAAGATTGGTTTTTTAATTGGGTAACATTTTTTCAGATTTAGGGAATGATCGGTTGGTCTTTAAAAAGTAGATTACAACTTTAATTTATTTTTACAGCACTAAAACTTACCAATCAAGATTTAAACTAATTTTGGAAGCTACAGTCTAAAAAAAACATGCTGTAATTCTCTTGTTTTTCACAGTCCTCTTTTTGGTGCTGTAGAAAAAAAAACATGGCTGTAGGA